ACAACTAAGTAGCTTATGGGAATCAGTTTTTAAATTTGCCTCACAGTTGAACCAAACCTAGGATGATGTTAATGCGCAGGTTGGGATGTTGTTAGTCCCAATGAGATTGGTACCACAATCAAATCTAAATCGGGTCCTTCAAGTATATAAAGTCAGGAGTTGTGAAAAGATGCATCTGTATTAAGAGGCTTAAAGCATTAACCCAACGCACCGCCTTTGTATATATAACCTCTTAATCTTTTTAACCTGATCTTTTTCAAAGGACTTTAGAATACAAACGTATAGAGTGGCTGGAGGAGAAGCATGTGCTTACTCAGCGCATCACAGAGGCAGAAGAGAAATACAGCCAAGTGAAGAACAAGCTGTGTCGGGCTGCTGTTGCTCAGAAAAAGGCACGTTGACTCTTCCTTTATGAATGATCCAGCTTAGGAAAAGTTTAGCCTTACTTTGGCCAGCTAGAATTGCTTTATTGTTGAGAGTTTATTTGCAATCTACTGAATATAGTAACAAAATGTATCAGGTTCTTCAAGTTTAGCATAGAAATAGATTGAATATGATATGCAAAAGAATAGTGCAGCCAACAACTTCCTTAGAATGTCACCAAACATTTGGTGAGGCTTTTGTGCTCATGTGCATGTGTGTATATACGGTTATTTAAGAGGTGGACTCCTTAATTAGTAAGGATGATGTTTCAGATACTAGACAAATGATGTCCTACTTTTCATTGGTGGAATATTAAAGTTTTATGTCTTCTCGTAGACTTTCTTTTTATAACATAACTTGAAAGGAAAGGCTGATTAATTGTTTATAAAAGCTCAAGATTAACTAGCAGTTTTATACATTGGACACATACAGGTTATGAAACCTGCCAGTAGTTTTTAAGGTTGTAAAGTTGAGTCAACATGAGCAAAAAACCAAAGAAACAAAAAAAGAAGGCATAAATTTTTTTGGGTCATGTTTATACTTGTTTATACATGGTTGTTTAAAGACCAACGAGTGACTGACAGCTGGGAATCTCTCAGTCGCAGCTGTGGATCATTTCCCATCTCTTCTGTTTCCCATCATGGGGATTCAGAACCTTCAAACAACACAGCACTTCTTAATTAAGGAAAATCCAAAAAAGTGCCACAACTTTGGAACCATGTAGAGTGTAGGTTTAATTTTTACAGGATCTAATTTCTCAAGGCGTTACTTAGCTCTGTTTGAAATGTCTGTTTGACAGAGGAAGACTCTCACCGATAATAAACAAAGGAGGATGCAAGAGAAACTAGAACTTCTGGAAGCCAAGATAGAAGAGCTGGAAAAAGAAAACCAGGTGCTAAATAGGTAATAAACTTTGCTTTTTCTTAGCTCAAAAATTGATATATGCCCAAGATTTGGCTCGTAAATACGAATTTTGAAAATACATGACACTTGCTTTAGTAACTGGAATCCAGACTAATGGTGTTTTCAGCACTAGAATTCTTTGAATGGAGTGTGTTCAGGACGGGCAGCTGGGAGCTTACGAGACACCTGCAGGGCTGTCTCTTTTGGGGAGAAATGGGGGGAAAATATCTGATAGATACAGTTGGAGGAATCCTTTTGAAAGAAGGAAGTGGAAAAACCTTCTGAATTGTAAGAAAAACGTACTTGTATTTCTTTGAAAGACAGACTCCTATTTTTTCTCTTCACTGAGCACCTATGGAGGGCTTGATTCCAAGAATTAATTTAATGTGGCTCACTACTGTAAGTGCTATTAAAAGCTTAATCTATTCCATGTAAATTATAATCTGTAATACAACAGATAGCTTAATATGTAGAGGGACTTTTGGATAGACGTTTAGGCAGAAGAATACACACAGGTCTTCCCCCTTCCAGTTCTTCTGGTACGTCGTGTTCCTCCGTAGGGGCAGGGACCGGCAGAGCTCTCGGGGAGAGGTGCGCTTCTGTGTTGGGGGTATTAAAAATTTTGGGCAATAAGAAATCTGTTATTTCCTAGGCAAAATGTTTCCTATGAAGAATATGCGCGTCTCCAGAAGAGACTAAAGGACTTGCAACGTAGGCACAACGAGTTCCGGAGTTTAATCCTGAATCCAAACATACCGTCGCTCAACCCAGTCAGTGTGATGTCTGCCTTGCCTCCTGGGCCTGAAGCCTCCTTCCCCCTTCTTCAGGTGAGGATGTGGTTACAAGCTGTGAAAATAATACAACCAAAGAGGGTCCTGGAACAGTCCTTCATTACAGACTTCAGTCTTAATGAAGGACTATTTGATCTTGGAACAGAGGAAGGGAACTTTGAGGAATGCTTCTAGTGGTGTTCCCTTCCTCGCAATAGGAAGGGACCTTTAAAGGTCACCTACTGCAACCCCCCCCTGCAATGAGCAAGGAGAGACCTGAAGAATAACCACAAAACACTGAGGAGTAAAAGTTAATGAATAAGGGTGTTTTGGACTTCAAAATTTTCATTTTAAAATCGTTAATTAAAGAAAATGAAAGAGAAAATGTAAGAAAATATGAAGACAAGCTGAGAGAGCTGGGGTTGTTCAGCCTGGGGAAGAGAAGGCTCCATGGAGACCTTATAGCAGCCTTTCAGTACTTAAAGGGGGCCTACAGGAGAGATGGGGAGGGACTCTTTATCAGGGAGTGTAGCGATAGGATGAGAGGTGACTGTTTTAAACTGAAAGAGGGGAGATTTAGATTAGATATTAGGGAGAAATTCTTTACTGTGAGGGTGGTGAGACACTGGAACAGGTTGCCCAGAGAAGCTGTGGCTGCCCCATCCCTGGAAGTGTTCAAGGCCAGGCTGGATGAGGCTTTGAGCAACCTGGTCTGGTGGGAGGTGTCCCTGCCCATGGCAGGGGGTTGGAACTTGATGATCTTTAAGGGTCCCTTCCAACTCTAACCATTCTATGGTTTTGTAGTTCTATGAAAATGAAATTATTGCTCATTTTTGTCCTTCGTAGGTGTGCAAATTGTAATATAACTCTTGTTTTTTTTTATTAATTTCAAGGAAGAACAGCATCAAAGAGAGCTTTCCCTGCTTCGCAAGCGGCTGGAAGACTTAGAAACCACGCAGAGAAAACAGCTGGAAGATCTTGGGCCGTCTAGAGAGCGAGTGACGGGGGGCGCGTACAGGCACGGGGCGAGAAACAGGGTCGCTGGGGAGGGCGACGCGCAGAGCGAGGACTCCAAATAAAATCCGCAAACCGTACGTGCTGATCGGGCCCAGTACCTTCTCTTTTGTACGTGCTTTTAAGATTTTTGCCAAAACCACGTTTGTACGTGCCTGAATAGCATAAAATATATTCTGCATAGTTTTGTATTTATTTTTGGTAGACTCTCCTAAATTATCAAATATAATGGTTCAAAACGAAAGCACTGAAAGATTAACTACATTTTGAAATGTTTTTTATATAAATGAAGTAAAATTATTTGGAAGTGAAAACATGAAATAATCTTGTCACACGAAACTTTAAAATCCATTGATCACGGTTTGGGTTCTGGTGACATTCAAGATAGAAATTAATTTTTTTTTTTCTGATAAATGCCTTAAAACTTATTTGATAACATTCTCTTACTCCTTCAGTGCAGGAGTTACTGTATCAGCAGGGAGTTTTGCTGGGTTGCTGTTCTTGTTGACGATGATGTAATCCACGTTTGGATCCTTATTTAGGAGTTCCCCTGCAGAAAGAGGATGAAATGAAATGGAAAAAATGCTGCAAACTTTAATTTCGTACCCTTGACAATGTGCCTCTTGTACTTTTACAATGGGAATAAGCAATAACCAGGTTTTTTTAATATAATGTAGAGATGAAGTATAACAAATTGCCTTCACCTTATGAAAATGTAGGTTTGTATTTGTGGCTGCTGTAATTTGTTTACATAAGTATAGTAAAATTATTTATTCAAGGTGGAATGTATTTATTTAAAAATATTTTTTTTCTTCATTATCAGTTTACCAACAGAAACTTGTAAAGGGTTGACTCATTTTTTTTGACTCGATAGTGAAATCTTTCCTGAAGTGCAGGAATGATTTAATCTGTGGGGTTTTTGTTTGTTTCCAAACTCTGCAAGCGTGCAGAGGTGCAAGTATGAGAGAGTGAGACAGGCAGCGCCCCTTCTTTTAACAGCTGATTTGCCGTTGTTTTTAGGCTGCAGTAATAGACAGCGGAGTAACTACCTCGAGCGTGGTGACATTGTCCTTGAGTCAACTTTTCTCTCCAGCGGCTGCTTTTTTGATTTTCCACGTCGTACCGTCGTACCGCACTTCCTTGGGGAACCTGTTAGACTTCTCTTGAGGAAAGCAGTGTAACTGTGAGAAGCACCAGAAGATATTTCTACTGTCTCCTGCGGAACTCATTTGGAAAAAACAATGTAAGGTTCACTAAGGTTTGCCAGTGTGTATAAATATACACACACATATATGATGGTTGCAAAGAGGTGGTTCTCAGCAGCCTGGTGTTTCTGTCCCCGACTCTGGTTGTGTGGGTCTTCTGCAAGATCTGATGTTGGGGCAGGGAGGGCGATGATCCAGGGGAGGGCAGAGAAAGGGCACCAGCAGGAGGAGGAGCGGTGGTTACCCGCTCAGGCTCCTTGCGCAAGAGTGAATTTCCTGTGCCTGCAGCACCCTCCTCAGAGACCGCTTGTCCTCCTTTTTAACACTTTTAGCTTTTTTAAAGTATCAACACCCTCAGGGCCTTAAAGCAAAGAAGCTGCAGTGGCTCCCGAGAGCTGTGTGGAGGAGCAGTGTCCCAGAGGCAGGAAGGCTGCAGGACTCCCCCAGGCAGTGCCGGGTTTCAGGCCCGTACCCCCAGCATCACCCCACACGGCCCCTACCTTCCTTCTGGTGCTGTCCCCAGCTGCAGAGGGACGTCAGGGTTTGTGCCACAGGCGTTGCCTCCACGGCTGTGACCTGCCACCTCAGCTGGCACCAGCCCGTGTCCTCCGTCCCGGTCCCAGCACTGCCACAGCCTGCGCTTGCTCTCCTTTAACCGCTTTAAAGCACACAAGTTAATCAAAAATAACCTCCAAATGCATTTTATTCTAGATAAACCCATACAAACATCAACATGTATTTGTCATTTGCACTTTTTTTTTTTAAACCATTCATTTTTAAACAACAGATTCACTTCTGTACAACAGGAATTACTTTACACATTAGTAGGAGTTGACTTCAAACTAGATGACTGCAAAATAATGCTCTGTAAGCTAGTGTTAGAAAATACGCTGTTTGCCATAGCAGTTTGCCTGTAAACATGTGAAAAAATCAGGTAAAAGAGAAGTTTGCTTTTTGTTTCAGAGCAGGCTGTTGGAATTGTCGGGCTGCTGTAACACAGCTTTAGTCAGAGGTGGGTCTTTTGTTTGTTTGTTTGTTTCTGTCCGGGTACCACTAACAGCGAATGGCAGAGAGGGAAGATGTGCCAATGGATTTGGTTTTTGTGTGTGTGTGTGTGCTGACCCAAACCTACCAAAAGAGCCACAATCACTTCATTATACTTCACATCACTTCGTGAGACCCACTCCACGGGTTACAAAAGTCCCAGCATGACTTCAAAATGGTTTACTAACAGAGTGACGCTGTTGAGGAGGCTTCAATAAAAGGCAAGAATCCTATTCCAGGCCCTCGGCTAAAAAGCTACAGGGCCTGCTTCAACACATACTTAATCTCTAGAAATCATTAAAGCTATTGTAGCAAACAAGCAGTAGTACAAATACAGAATAGGACTGGTTTTCGTTTCCTCATCATATAAACACATATAGTGAAGTTCACAGGATCAGACCCACGTAAACAGATTATATTTTACAGCTTTTTTTTTTTTTTTTTTAAAGCAGAAATGTTGGGGTTTTTTGTTTTTTCTGCCTGTACAGAAGGTTACTGTTGACCAAAACTATCACAGTTCATTCAAATGCACTGCCAGCAAACACCTGAACTGGAGTGGAACTGCTGAGACGTCTAACTGGAAAGAGTGATGTGCTCATGCCCCTCCTTTCACATTAATTACTGTGCTTTTTTTTTCTCTATTTAATTGATGCTGCTTTAAAAGGTTAGATTAAGAATGATAAAAATCAAGCCCTTAAGTACAGGTATTCTAAGCTTAAGTGCTACTCAAGCCATGGACCACTCCTTTAGGATGGAGGGTAAGACAAGGTTAGGGTTGGGGTGGGTCTTATTTCCCCAGTTAAAACTAAACTTACCACCAATTTATTGTGCCAGGCAGAGACTAGAACTACTGAAAGTACTGCAACACTGTAGTGCAGTTTCCTGAACAAAGCCATACATTCCATCAAGTATAAAGTGTAAACTTAATAGCAAGTGTAAGACTTGAATTAAAAACAACAACAACAACAAAAAGCCATCACAGTATGGGTTGGTGGCTGCCCTCACCGAGCCGCAGGAGGGACAACTTGTGCAATCGCGTGGTGGGGAGGGGGGGCAGACCAGTAGGCAACGTCTTCCTGTGTTTGCTGGCCCCACATGAAGAGGTGGCCAAAGCGTGGTTAATGTTCACCGGTGCTGGGGGACTGTGCCTGGTACCTGCTTCTGGCAGCCACTGCAGCCAGACCTGCCAGCTTTAGGACTGCAGCCTCGGGGGCTGCCAGGGAGCCTCTGGCTGGTCACAGCCCCAGCACAGGCTCTCTGCACTAAACTCTGGGCTGTCTGTGCCACCCACAGCCTGGGGCATCCTCACCACTGCCCCGGGGAGGGACAGCTCTTCCCTCGCCTGTGGGCCACTCTGCTACGCCATGGGTTCCTCTGGAAACCTATCACCATCTCATCGACATCTTACCTCAAGTCTAAGGGAGCCTCAGGAAGTGCCTCCACGTGACTGGCGCCGAGCCCACGGCAACAGAAGCTCTCAGGTGTGCAGTGGGAGGTAGGACGGTGCCGGTGCGGTAGCCGAGCCAAAGCCACCGCCGTTCCTCCACGGCTTTGCACAGTCGCCACTGCACCAGCCTCTTCTCAGCAGCGTGGCCACGCACCTGCTTTCCAGCCAGGCTAACTTTAGCCACCAATGCAAATGTCATGGCCGCCCTCCTCTGAAAAAGGCCAAGCCCCAAAAACCAGCCCAGCAGGACTAAGGCAGAGAGTTACCCCCTCCCCAGCCACCACCTGTGTATCCGTGTCTCGTACAGAGACAACCCCAGCCCTCCTGCTCTTACCCTCTTTAGACACAGCCTTTGTGTGGACAACCTGGAAAGAAAAACAGTATCTGCTGGCTTTAGGTTTGTGAGTCCCTGGTCCGGGGCTGGCCGGGCCCATCCTGCACCCCAGCACAGGTTTGTGCTGGGAAGGGCAGCCATGGTCAGCTGCTCCATCACACCACAGCACTGGGCCCAGGCGGAGCAGCTGCACCGGAGGCTTCACGTGTGAAGCTGCTCAGGAGCGTTTCACAGCTTCATGGATGGAAAGGTACAAGTGTAAACACGGACCCCTGGCGCTCTAGGGCCTTCCTCCAAAAGCCTCCCTCCCCCCTGCTCAGTGGTCGGCCTCTCTTTGCATGTGGAATTTCTAACCTAAGGAAGAGAAGTCCTGCCATGTGACATTTGGCCTTCAAACCTCAGAGCCACTTTTGCTCCTTAAACACACTTGTCCTAAGTGTCACTTTGGTGCTGTTTTTTTGTTTTTTTTTTTTCTCCTTTTCTCCAAACAGGAACCAGTGTACATTTGTCTGGAAGGTAGGAAACTGCAGCTGACCCGTATTCTGCAGCCGGAGCTCATCCAGACAGTTTGCAAAGGCTGCTGAAAGGATGTGGGGCAACATCAGCTTTCTCTCTTCAGAAAAAAAAAGCTACTTACAAGTAGGAACTTACAAGTTCACACGGGCACCCTGAACTTGCAGTGTGCTTTGTGCATCTCCTACGAGCTCGCTTTCAAGTAAGCAGAAAGCTTACGCAGGCCATGTTTTTGAACCAAAAGGTATGTGTGTTCAAAGTACCTAAAAAATGCTGGCCCTGCCAACATTAGACTCACTTTCGCTTTCACGTGCCCACGTTTGAATACATTACCCTGCCCGTGCTTCATTCCCAAACGTAGATATTACTTGGAAGGGTCAGAGTGGAGAAGAGTGTCCAAATGTTTCAAACCCTGTACATATAGTCAGTCAGAACAGTTTTGGGAGCAGTAGCGCTTATTTAAAATCCCCCACAGTGACGCTGTGAGCCAGTGCTCTGCTCAAAGCCATTTGCATTTTTTCTTTTCATCAAATAAGGCTTTTACTTGCTGGAGCTGTTTCTGGACTTCTTCAAACCCCCGTTCTCGCTCGAGTTTGCTGACAATCTGTTAACAATTAGCAAAAAAAGAGAATAATTTTTTTTTAGTGCTTATTTTACTTGCTGTTTTTTAAAGCCTGCTTTTCTGCATTCCAACAACTGCTGGCAGAAAAACCCATCTGAATGCCTGCCTATATGTAAACATTCTTTTCTAACTCTAACACTGTATTTTGGTAGTTTTCCTTTCAAGTCGTTATGATTACAGGATTTGCAACACTTCCACAAAAGAATGACAGAGCCAAGCAAAAATCCCCAAACAAATCCAACACACATTCAGCTCTTGGAAGTGTGAGGCGAGGCCAGTGCTCCAACTTTACTCTAGAGCAGATTCGTAAACGGTATTTTATTTCTCTTCCTCTGCCCTATAAACTGAGGGCAATAAACTGCCTCTTTTCCTCTAACTGGCCCACTTGGCACCGGCCCAGGTGATAGGAGGGAGCATTACTGCTGTCTGAGAACTCTTTGCTGGCAACTCTACAAAGCGACTGAGGTCTCAGCAAGCAATGAATAAGGTTTAGCTGCACCCGGTCAAAAGCCAGAGGGAGAAAGAAAACTAAGGATGGGGTAAATTTAGCCAGTACCAGCTTCAAAAAAAGCAAAATTGGGCACTGATATTAGAAAATATTTTGAAGTCTCCTGTGTCAACAATTTTAATGAATTTAATAAAGTGCAGTGCCATTCCAAGTGCCATCCCTAGCTTCTTTTAAGAGGCAAAGATTTACTGCCGAACTCAGATAATTTGAGATGTTAGAGATGAGGAGTGGTGAGCTCGCTAACAGGTGACTGAGAGCGGGCTGATTGCAGCCAGCACCGATGCTGCGCTGCCGGGGATGAGAGAGAGAAAGGTCTGGTTGCTGGGAGACCCAGACAACCTGCTGGAAGTGGTAACGAGCCCTTCAGGCAGCACACCCCAGCTGGCTCTTATCTGCCTCCCTGCGCAGGCACAGCCGCCTCTGTTAAGGATGCCGAGGCAAAAGGGAGCGGAGAATCCTATCACGCAAAGCGGAGGAGGGCAGGGATTTTCTTACAAAGCAGCTCAGGGGTAGCCTGTGACTAAGTGCTTTCGGTTGAGAAAAGATTTATTTTGTTAGCAATAGCAGGGACTGGAAGCTAGAGCTTCTTTAAGAGAAAGACTGTTAGAGCAGAGCAGGAGAGGGCGATGACGGGAAAGGAGCAGACAGCTCTTGCTGTAAGGCTGAGTGTGCTCCGCTGAGGTGTCTGAACTGACTGTTAAACCCAGAGCCCTGGTGCCAGTCTCAGCTGACTCCTGAATCTCCGGGGAAATGGAGTGCATGCACAGGAGTTGTGACAGGAATTAGCAGACACTCTGCAAACACTGTAAAACCAGAAGTCTAGACTAGATAGGAACTTCCTTAAAACTGCAGGGAGCATTTCCTGGCTTCTGTCTCTGAAATAGAGTGGTGATGGTACTGGCCCTTGACCCCTCTGAGGGGTGGGGGCAGCACCGATCTGGCCCCGCAGAGCTCAGTGGGAGGAGCAGCCTCGGCTGCAGCCCTGAGGGGCTGTCTCTGCACTGGCACCCAGTAACTCGCACCCCAGGCCAGCCCTTGGTTGCTTTGTCAAGCCCAATTACAAGCAAGTAATAACAGGAAGGGGTTAAGCAGGAATAACGGATGTGCTCACCTCATCATAGTATTTCACTATGTATCTGTGGATTTCAATCAAGGCCACTTTCTCATTAAATTCATTTTCATGTTTCTAAAACAGAAAACAGTTCTGGTCAGGCAGTTCTCCTTTTTAAAAAAAAACTTCACATGAAAGCAAATTAAGTTCTCACTTCTCAACCATACCTTAGATTCCTGAGTTAGAAATTCTTCAACCTCTGCAGTGGTCAAAGGAGGCAGATCCCTGATGGCTTTATAGTATGCTTTCACCTCCTTCTTGTAGAGTGGAATGTCCTTAGCGTAGAGAAGTTTATTTGTTGGTGCTTCCTTAAAAGAAAATATATGAAGCCTTGTCAATTTTCACAGCACAGATTTCCTAAGGTTCCACCTCCACATAGTTAATTGCATCTAATTGTGTCTGTTCTCTGTGTGACTCATGTCTCTTTGCAGTGGTTTATATGCAAAGAATCAAGGTTATGAAATAAAGATGAAGAACAGACACAGGACCTCAGGAACGGTGCATTGTGTTTCACGACAGCTGCCATATAATTATTTCTATTGGCATCAAGAGTGATGAAGATTTTTCTCTCAGAAACATTTTCCTTTCTTCCTTCCTCCTCACCCCTCTCCAGACCTCAAAGATTATGAAAGCTGAACCAAAAAGGCCTTGAGGCTGATACGCTACTTACATACAGGACAGAGCGCTGCTGTGGAAAGCTCCCCCAGGACAAGATGCCAGAGAGCCCTGCCCTGGCAGAGGTTCCCCTAAAGCTCTTTGGTCCCTACTGCTGCTTTCTCTCAGGGGTTCCAGAGCGTGGAGAGCTGACTGCCATCCACCTACAGCCAAAGGGATTTATTTCTTCCCCAAGGGCTTCGACAACCCAGGTCAGCGCTCACGTATCAGGCAGCTTTAGGCTCATCCGAGGAAATAAATGTTGCTGCTTGTGGTAGGAGCCAAAGCCCCACCTGGAAACCATCGTTTTCAGAATGTGAAAGTGGGGGCTGGTAGTTTCCTGTCACTGCTCTAGTTTAAATTCTGGGGAATAAATGACACAACCACGTGATACCTTGTCACTACTGTTTCCACTGTGTGATGAAATGATTTAAATATTTGTTTACTAAGTGGCTAAAGAATATTTTAAGATAAAAGGCTAAAAACCATGTAAGTAAATATATTTTAGTACTCAAAGGGCAGGAGATGTTTACTGCCTTGCAAACCTTTATCAGGTTTCAGCATCCCTTTTCTAATGGCAGCTTTTGTATCAACAGTACTTCACAATGGATGTTAAGCACAGCAATCTAACAGACCATGCTCATTTGCTGTTTCTCCATCAAGTAAGTGATGTGATGAGTTTTAATTCATGACACTTTACTCCTAAAATAAGACAACTGCATTATATATTTGTTCTTTAACAGATGAGCAAATTGGTTCAGATCACACAGGAAATGAGTTCTTTTTTATAGAATTTTTTTTTTTAGGCTAAAAAATCTTTAGCCTGTTTTTCTTGGTACTAAGAGCCCAAACAATTGCTTCCTACTTTGGTTCAAAGACAAGGAAAATATCCTTGGTAAAAATGAAGTATTTCTGATCCCCAGTCTTCTGGTGACTGCACAGCAGCTTACAAGGCATGCACATTGGTATGTGCCAGACAAAATTTGGATTACTTATCAAATAATGTTAATGCTTTTAAGAACTTTGTTTAAAAATTTTTAAAACTTCATTATAATCTTACAATTTTCATCCTCTTCCACATTCTATAAAAACAGTGTGCAGAAACTAACTGCAGAGAAGACAAAGGCAGTTAAGTATAACTATGGCATTCTAGCAGCTCTATCTGCCTACACCAGTGAATTCTTCAAAGTCTTGTGAGAAAGAGCAACAACGAGTGGAAACCCAGCTTAATTAGTCCACTGACAGTTTTGCCCCTGATGTCAGCAGATCCAGGGACTTCACACCCCAAATCATTGTACAGTTGCAAAAGCCATTGGTTGAGGAGATAGCAAAGGACTGGAAGGGCAGCCTTACCTTCCCCAGTGTCTGTTCTGCTAGAGAAAAGGCATCCATGAAAGCTTGTGCGATTACAGACAAACAGCCATCTATATGTGAAGTCTTCTTAATATCAAAGACAAACTGGGGATTCTTCAGTATGTTCACCCAGAAGCGAAGAGGAAGACTAGACAGAAAAAGAACAAGGATCTTTAAAATGAACCACTCACGTAGCACAACTGCTTTAAAATGGTAGTTTAAATACACTGCACTCGAAAGAAGCACATTTCTAGGCTGTATATTCATGTTAAAAAAGAGATCAGGGAACAAAGGCTACAGAGCAAACACATCAGTCAATCACCCTTCCATCTTTCAAATAATGCTCTCAACCTGCAGACACTTCTTTCTGAGTGTGATGTCAGTATGCAGTCCTGGAAGCTATGGTGGTTTGTGTCAGTATCCAGTCAATATACTAAAATTACTGGGATCCACAAAGCCGAATCACATCTTCAACCAGACATGCCAGAATCTTATTCTTCTGATCACCTGTTCCATCTTTGCAACTACGTTTTCAGAGAGTGCACACCCTCCTGCATATATCATAGGGACATACCTGTTGGTTTTCCATATATGCACCACATCAGGGTCAGTAATTTTTTTGCTCTCAGCCTGGGCATCCAGAAAGTCAAAAAAGTACTTGATGGCAACAGGCGCTTTATTGTTGGGTAAACTCCAAATGCTCTTGAAGAGCTTTTCAACAACTGAATGAATTGCAACCTGAAAAGTAAGAAAATAAACAGTGGTATTATTACGCAAGAAAAGAGTAGGATTTCTTGCCTCGGGAGAGCTAAGTGTGCCTCAAAGCAACCACACACAGAAACTACAATGCACTTGTGGCAAACACCTAGGGCATAGGTTATTGGCAAACAAGACAGTCAACAACAAAAATGAAACTTCAAATGCACCATAATGAGCTGCTTTCAAATGTCACGTCCTGCCACTTTACAGACAGGAGAATTGTGGTGAACCTTGTGACAAGTCGTAGGTGGAAGGAACCACTTGTTCCAACAAAGACAATATCAACTTTTCAGATAGTGTTGGCACCATTGCTATAGGCATTTGGAACTCGTGAATGGAAGTAACAGGGAGGTGAGCAAAAGGAGTTTGACCAGTTTTCTAGGGCACTGGTGCCATCTGTGACACATGTTGAACACATGTGCTCATCAACACTTCACAGCCAAGCGACTGTGGCACTTGATCTAATTCTAGGATAACAGCTTTGGGTGGCATAAAATGACACTAATATTAGAAAGAAGAACTGAAAATTGGGTATTTCTGATCCAGAAGTGAAGCTATTTGGTTCACAAAGTTGCCGATGGACTCACTGACATCATGACAGAGTATTCTTAAGAAGAGGCAAATAAGGCAAAGCACTGTCTTGTACTTCTTTTCTTCACATCTGTTCTGGAGGTCAGTTCAGCCCAATCTTCTCTCAACAAGAAGGATTTAAGTGTATCCCAGGGCCCTGATGCACTACTGGCCAGTTCATTTCGGCGGGCAAACTCTGCAGTTGTGTCTGTGTGTATGTGGGGGTGACAGAGGGAGAAAGACACGGTTCAATGCAATTCCCTTTAGTGCATAGTGTATCACGGGTGGAATTTCACAGTGAAGGATATCACAGCACTGCTGTTCAGAGCATTATCCTACTTTAGAGAAGGAGATGATTAATTTAAAGCCCGCTAAAGGACTGTTTCTTAAGAGCCTGATCTTTCCTTTTGTATTTCAGTCTTCCACCATAAGATATTACTGGTTTATTCCAGCAATTCCCAAGGGCATATGTTCGTTTCCACAGCTAATGAGAAATGACCAGTCTTCACTCTCACTTTGGGTAGTGTCCTAAATTACTTCAGATGCTATCAACAATCTAATTAAATAATGATTGATAGATTTTTAAATGCAAGAAGGCCATAATCTTCATTCCTTCAGGCCTTTTGTATCACACAGCACTCAGTGTTGTTGGGCACTGATTAATATTTTAAGTAATATGCTGCTTCAAAGAGTTTTAGAAACCTTTTGAGCAAGTCAGAAACAAGATGACATTACCGGAGGGAGGGAGCAGGGCTTATTCCTAAGCAACGAGCATTGTTTAAATTAGGCAATCGTATTACAAATCCTAGGGACCTTGTTTTTAAAATTAATCTAGCTATTTTGGATGCTTAATTTGAGACCTTAAAAGATTTTTTAATTTCATAGGCAGTATTTTGTGAAACTCAGGCCTTGGAAGTTGTCTCTAACCTGGGAAAACACTAGTAGAGAGTGAGGAGATCGCTGACTGAAAGCTGTCTCTCCAGAAGGGATGGGACTCTATGGGACTCAGTGGCAAATTCACTTTCTATAAGCTCAACAATAACCTTTTTTCTTTAACCTGAGAAAAAAGGTTGTGTTTACTGAGGAGACAGAGACTGCGAGCAACAGACAATTTTAGAACTCTAGCATTAGAAAACCTGAAATGTGGCCATCTTTGCAGATGGTCATAATCTGTAGTTAGTGCGGTGATTTTCATAGGCTACCTTTGTAATTTAACATTTGATATACGTGCAGGAAGCCTGCGTAATTTCTGCTTTATTTTCCATTTCTGCTGTGCCAAACTAGCCATGCCTAACACCAGCCCTCCCCCAAAATAAGGCCTTTACAGTTTACCTTGGTTGACAGAAGCTTTGTCAGATACATTTCTTTCACTTTGAATTTTTGCTTTCCTTTGTGACCTGCTCCTTTCACGTCTTTGTTTGCTTCAGAATCTGGTAAAATCTGTCATGAAGAGATTAGAGAGATTACACAGAGACAAATGCAGCTCAGCATTAAATCTACCATTTAACAGTGTAATGACTGAACTTACCAAATGACAGTGTTCATCTGAGTAGTCCACATCTAAACAACAGAAAGGAGAGAGCAAACAGGCATTAATGAAACACACAGCTACAAGCCTGGGAGATCTGCTGAGCTCTGGGCTGTGCGGCAGCGCGCGTGGCTCAGGATGCCGAGCGAGGAGGCTTGGTGTCACACCTTCCTGCCTGCAGGGTCGGGGAAGCCTCTGAGAAACGCACAGGTCCTGGCTCACCTCCCCAGTGCCAACCTGTAGCTTGGACCAGAATGCTGGGGCATTGTCATCTGCTGCTGCTGGGGTAAACTGGCAGCAAATCACAGCTCCTCTGAAAGCTGCTCACAGCAGCTCTGACAGACAGCAGAGGAGATGATTGCATTGGTTTAGTCTCTGTTAAGAGTACTCAGCACAGGGGGACTGAGGTCAGGTTTGAAAGCAATGGCTGAGAACAGACAACCCCGCAATGCCATCCCAGTGACCTGCACCTCAGGGACACCTCTCCTCAGTTTAGATGTTCACCTTGATCGTGAGGTGAATCACATGCCACAAGTGTCTTTTTCTCCCCAGGGGCTACAGAAAGTCCACCTCCCCCAAGCCATCAGCTGAGTTGGATCACCCGGCACCACAGGGGTAGATGAGATGAACTGGCACCTTGTAAGCACCCTTTAACTCCTGACCTGCTGTTGAGACAGCCAAGTCAAAGCTTTCAGAAACACAGTTGAACGGGTAAGGAAAATAAAAAACTAGCATTTTTTTGTTATGCCTGTCTCTGAACAGTGCACCACTACGTCTATGATACACAACACCAGGCACTGGAGCAGGGCATGTTCCCTGCAGTGGTCTCACTTTGTGCTGCATGGGCTTTCCCTGCCCTGCTTCCCTGCCTATGAGTTTGTATCTTTAAGCATTCATTTGGTGAGGACTGTAAGTCCTTCTGTCCTTCTTTCCTTTGCCTTCTTCGCTCCTCCTAGCCCACTGTGCCTGCCAGAGGCTCAGAGCCAGGATAACACGGCTCTTCATTTGGCTCAGCTATACCAAAGTGCCATTTTTTCTGACCTCCTATTGACCAAGATACAACCTGTCATAGCTCAGCTCTCTGCATTCCCAGCCTGTTCTCCACAAAAGATTAGATAGATTGAAGTTCCTTCATTACCTGATCGGGTACTTGTCTTCTTTTTAAAGACTTTTATGGTTGCTCCATTTGAAATCTGAAAGAAAAAATAAATGTATCTTGCTGAAACAAAAGTGTCTAGAATTCATGAAACTCTCAGTTTCATTTCCTCTGTCCTTAAGTCCGTGGCAGCACAGGACTCTGCCAGCCCACTCTGTTCTCACCAGGGTGTGCAGGGCTCTCAGCAGGCAGCCAGGGTTGGGCTTTCAGGCGTGGGCAGCAGCTGCAGTTTGTTAGCCTCACCTGGCAAGGTGTGAAGGCAGTGCTTCCGACAAGCTGGCCTTTAAAGCTTTTCCCTTTTTTTGATTTTTCTGGTTCAGCCCCTATTTGGACGCTTTCATTTTCATGTACTGCTTTGTGCTGCTTCTTGCATCCATCTTTCTACAGATTGCCTGGGCTCAACTCTCTGGCTCCAATGCAATTGGATCTTACAGGAAAGTGAGGCAGGGAGGGAAACACAGCTAATTATTTCTCTTCTGGCCCCCTTTCTTCCAGCTCAGTCCATTCCAGAGCCTTCCCCTATGCCCTACAGAGGGCCCATGTTGAGGATCTAGCCTGGTCCTCCCGAGAACTATTTTCAAACTTCAGTTCCCAAAGTGAGTGAAATATTTATGCCCTGTGGACTGAAAGGTCAAGAGCCATATCTAGCCACCTTGGGATTTCTAGGAAGAATCTTCCACTCTCCTTCCCTGAATTTATCATGTTGCCAGGATAGTAACTTATCTTATAAGAAACTGGCAAGTCATGCTTTTATTGTCAAAGAGTAACTCAAAAACAGCTCCCATTGAGAACTACACCACTGCTCTGCTGTCAAATGTTGGGTCTTGCCAAGTGCTAGTATACTTTCCTCTATAATTACAAAAACAACTGGCCAGTTCTAGGAAGGGATCTCTGCCAAAATAATTTAAGTGTTTTTTAAACCTTGGCAGCCAGCCCAGTGTGAGAAACCAGTTTAAACATTAAGATACTCTATCAAAAGCTGTGTCTTGCGCCAGAGAAATCTGCACTTACACTTGCTCCTGGAAAGTAAATGCAATCTATTTTATGAGTACGATTTTTTTTGCATGGTTTCCATTTATCATATGGTGTTTCAGAGCTCCTTCAGATAACACAGAGCACTTTAAAACCACGCTACAAGTGGGAATATGCTCTAAGGCTGGCTTGTGAGATGACACAAACACCCGGAGAGAACAAGAGTCCTCCTACTCAGCCCTGAGGATAGGTAAACAGGAAAGGGCTACCCAGAAGTTCACTCCCTCCCAGAGCAGCATGAGCAATGTGCTGCCTCCACTCCCACTACAAGAAGCAGCACAGTGCTGAAATGTGTCAGCTCTTGTCCTGAGGGAGTTGGGTAGATCTCGGAGGGATAACTGTGCTTCCTTCCAGGAACCAGAGGCGTTGGTGCAGGGCAGGCATAAAACCCACTTCGGGTTTATTTCTGGGACAAATACTGCTTTTAGCACTGAGTGGAATGTGCCTCCCCTTCTTTATCATTGCTTCACTGGCCATAGCTGCTGTCTCTTTCAGATCAATAATAATTTAAAGAAGCCCTTTTTTTCTAAATCACTTTTCATGGTGGGCTGCTCCCATGGGCACCTCAAAACATCCTTACTTTGTCAGGTGCATTACTGTGGGGGACAAAAAAGGGAGACGGGAGATCTGTTCAGACCCACACAACACAGAGTACAGCTACTTTGCAAAACAGAAGATGTAGCAGTGTGGCTCTCTGTCTCTTCTTTGCTCTTCAGACCTTCTATCCTCCCTATAATCTAGTCACACATTCGGATCACATGTTCAGATTCACTCCCTGGGGTTGTGCCCACTCCTGGAATGGTGAGAAATTTGCTACAGGTTGAGAAATTTGAGATATGACTGGACAGCAGATCTGAAAGCAGTTCTCTAGCTCTCTTCCTATGTGAGAAATAGGACATCATGATAATCAGGAACTTTCTTGTCAAGGCTTGTGGTTATTCTCATGCAAACAATAGCAACCTGGTCTAGTGGGAGGTGTCCCTGCCCATGGCAGAGGTGTTGGAACTCGATGATCTTTATGGTCCCTTCCAACCCAAACCATTCTATGAATAGTGTAGACCTTAAATAATCACATCAGTAGCCCTACTATGAGGAAAAAATTAGAGCACAAGGAGCACACAAGTCAGAAACAAATGAAAGTCTAATAAGAGTACAGTGTATTTTTCTCCCTACAGAAACACCACACAAAAATGCAAACATCCCTTACTTCACATTTAAAAAAATCAATGTACAAACTAAGTCTGCTTTTTCAAGAGTGACTAATGATTTTGAGACCTTTACAACACAACCCCCATGCTCTAGTATTTAAAAAAAAATGTCAGTACTTTCCAGTTTCAAAAATCTGGTTACTTTCTAGCATTTAAGGCTGGCAAACAAACAACCCCCCCCAAAAAACCCAGGCTTGCCACAAAACTCCAGGCACTATTGAAATGTAAGTTGGAATTCCTCAGTCAACATGACTACCCTCACACTGTGCGTGCAATGGTCCCTTTCCTTGCTAACTAGACACCTTTACATTGCTTTTTGCATTAATATGCATACAAGAATATAAACTAGATGTACTAATGGCTGATACTTGTCACTAAGCCACTGCCTAAAATGCCACTAAGGTTCTGACAAAATACGTACATTTTAGGCAGTGTCAGAAAAAGTGAGCTAAAATATCTAAGAGAAATACCCAACACAATTTCCATACGGCAGCTGCTAAGCTATAATTAGTTTAGTTACAGCTTTGCAAAAACAACTGAACCTCCAACCTAACTTGCATCTGCCTGCAGAAACCACAGACGAAAACAAGGGCTGGGACAAAGATGCCCAGGGATGACAGTGACCAACTGAAGCCATGAGGTATGGCACCCGTGAGCCATGGCACGCCATGAGCTCAGGAAGCACAAAAAAGCTGCCAGGTAAAATAGGTGCCTGCAGTGAAGAGGGTGGGTACTATCACATCAGACAGAAGCTCAAACATCTAATCAGATTCAAATCTACGTTGACCTTTGCTGCACAGACTCTGACTGCAACAATACAATGTCCTAATCTGTACACAAGTGGAGTGGAGGGAAGTCGCAGGCTAATCTACAGACAAGATTCAAGAGAGGCACGGGAAAAGCTGTATTTAAGGCAGTGGATGGTGAGTCAGGACATCTGGGTTCACTGTTGTCTCCCCGGGAGGTAAGCACAGCAACAAACACCTACAGAAGTCTGTAAAGTGATTCCAAATGAGCTTGCTCCAGATCTGACCAGCCTTGTGCTCTGCCCAAGCTACGAAGAGTCCTGCTAGGAGTCCTTGTTGTAGACCTTAAATAATCACATCAGTAGCCCTACTATGAGGAAAAAATTAGAGCACAAGGAGCACACAAGTCAGAAACAAATGAAAGTCTAATAAGAGTACAGTGTATTTTTCTCCCTACAGAAACACCACACAAAAATGCAAACATCCCTTACTTCACATTTAAAAAAATCAATGTACAAACTAAGTCTGCTTTTTCAAGAGTGACTAATGATTTTGAGACCTTTACAACACAACCCCCATGCTCTAGTATTTAAAAAAAAATGTCAGTACTTTCCAGTTTCAAAAATCTGGTTACTTTCTAGCATTTAAGGCTGGCAAACAAACAACCCCCCCCAAAAAACCCAGGCTTGCCACAAAACTCCAGGCACTATTGAAATGTAAGTTGGAATTCCTCAGTCAACATGACTACCCTCACACTGTGCGTGCAATGGTCCCTTTCCTTGCTAACTAGACACCTTTACATTGCTTTTTGCATTAATATGCATACAAGAATATAAACTAGATGTACTAATGGCTGATACTTGTCACTAAGCCACTGCCTAAAATGCCACTAAGGTTCTGACAAAATACGTACATTTTAGGCAGTGTCAGAAAAAGTGAGCTAAAATATCTAAGAGAAATACCCAACACAATTTCCATACGGCAGCTGCTAAGCTATAATTAGTTTAGTTACAGCTTTGCAAAAACAACTGAACCTCCAACCTAACTTGCATCTGCCTGCAGAAACCACAGACGAAAACAAGGGCTGGGACAAAGATGCCCAGGGATGACAGTGACCAACTGAAGCCATGAGGTATGGCACCCGTGAGCCATGGCACGCCATGAGCTCAGGAAGCACAAAAAAGCTGCCAGGTAAAATAGGTGCCTGCAGTGAAGAGGGTGGGTACTATCACATCAGACAGAAGCTCAAACATCTAATCAGATTCAAATCTACGTTGACCTTTGCTGCACAGACTCTGACTGCAACAATACAATGTCCTAATCTGTACACAAGTGGAGTGGAGGGAAGTCGCAGGCTAATCTACAGACAAGATTCAAGAGAGGCACGGGAAAAGCTGTATTTAAGGCAGTGGATGGTGAGTCAGGACATCTGGGTTCACTGTTGTCTCCCCGGGAGGTAAGCACAGCAACAAACACCTACAGAAGTCTGTAAAGTGATTCCAAATGAGCTTGCTCCAGATCTGACCAGCCTTGTGCTCTGCCCAAGCTACGAAGAGTCCTGCTAGGAGTCCTTGTTCCTCTCTGTGGATGGCACTGTACTTGCTCATGCAGACAGCAACGTGCTCAGGGCTGGCTCAGGTTTCTCAGCACCTCTCTGCATTGCATGACACAGACTTACACCCATCAGCAAAACTTCTGAACAAATAAAAATCGATTATCGGGTTAAGAGTCAGACTTTCAAATTCAACGAGGCATTAAGAAAGCTCACTAAAAGCACTCAACCTACCTCATTTCCAAAATCTATCTATAAGCATCAAACGTGAGCTACCCTATCACCTGAGGCCAATCACCTGCTACACATTTTGCCACAGCCTCTCACCCTCTATTTTGACTCGTGTCAGTGGAAACTCCTTAGAGGCAATGCTGCTCGCTGGGCTTTCCCACAAGGGCTCTGCCACCAGTTGCATGCAGCCTTGTGTGTTGTTGCAATGACACAAAGATTATTGCAGCATTGAAAAGGACTGGTTTATAGGCGCAATTGGAAGTGGAGGGGAAAACATACAGTACAGGTGGTGACAGAAAGTGGAAGCCGGAACAGAGAAAGCAAGGAGACTGCCACAGAAGGTCTCAAGGAAAAAGGAACCAAACTCATCCACCCTTTTTGTTTTGACCCTCAATGAGCTTTCAGAAGTGTCACGACCACCTGTTCAGAGAATCAAAATATGAGGTGGGAAAAGGTAAACAATTACTCATGGTGCATCAAAAACTCAGCAGCAGAGACGAGAAAAGATTCAAGGCAATGTTCACACCTGGAAATGAGATGTTCTTTTAACTGACATGCTCAACAGAAGTAACGGTTTAGCAGGTATGCTTGAACAGAGCAACCCTGCAACACGCAAACCTCTGAAAAGTAACTGAAAACATATGACTCATTGGCAAGAAAGTTACATGTCACATAGTTCTTTCTTTCTGTTGATGATGCTCAGCTACCTCTTCGATATTTTCGTCAATCAAGATACTTCTATGCAGACAGCATTTGGGAGCTGGGTAGCAACTGCTTCTTAATTAATTGGTTTGGCTTCTGTGCTTACCTCATAATGGCTGATGGTATTTAGCCTCCTTATCCCATCCTCCATCACTTCTGAGGATCCATCAATATCCAACAATTCTCTTTGCTGCTCCTCAGACACAAGTTCTGCAGTATGACAGCAACAGAAAACAATTACATCCCAATGGCATTCTCACAGTACCAAATGCTTGTAAAGAAAACCACCACCTAATTATTTCTGGACCAGTGGCTCCCAACTAAGCTGTTTCTCTCTGTCCTTGTGCTAGGTCACATGAAAGTGGTTTTGCACTCCCACAATGCAGATTCCTTTTCTGGGGTGACAGCCTGGGTAGCTTCCATTGCTGCAGGCTATTGGGGCTTTACTTTGTGTTGGTTAAGGCAGAGGTTTTGGAGGTGCTTTCATCAAATCTAGCTATTCTGTTGCACAAGTGGGCCTTGGTATTAAGACCATGTTGGGACTAGAAGAAAGGTTTCACAAGCCACTTCTGAGACCACCAAAAGGAGCTGTATATGACTGAACTAGTATTTGTGAAGGGCAGTCAGGCACTGGTAGTGGATATAACCATCGGATATGACTGTAAATTGTCATCACTTGCCAACTCAGCAGCTGAGAAGGTAGAGACATACCAACATCTTAAGAAGCAAGTCTGGGAGGTGATAAATGTCAGTAATATAATTAGTTGGATTTCCTATTGGAGCTTGTGGGAAGTGATGCAGTGCTAACTACTTGTTTTTATCTGACCTTGGGCTCTTGAAAACCCAAGAAGAAAAGGTGGCCTGTCTCTTCTCCAGAATGGCTATATTTACATCTGCAGATATTGTACATATCTTTGTGAGTCACATGCAAATTATTATATGCACCTAATCTGACTGTAAATAAACTATATTTGTGGGTTCTGCTGATCAAGGGAAATGCAGGCCTGTTGGAAAGAAGGGTGGTAGGAGGGATGATAGTTAGGGACTAAATCATGATAGTGTCATCTGGCCCACTGACAAAAATTATCAATTGGCTGTACTTAGGTGGCCGGGCCACCTTACTTAACCCAGAAAAGGAACATATAAATTATATGTGTTCAATAAATAACATGTGTTTGTCAACTGCATGCTGAAGTCCTTGCAGAAGTGAAGGGGATGTAGTTCTGATGTTCTACGTGGTAGCAAAATGGTCTAGTATTTCCCCAGAGATTCCTTCCAAAAGCTATGTTCTGCCTAAATGCTAAAAAAAAACCCCAAAGCCAAGGGTAGGAATTCCTAAAAAAGAAGATAGACCAGTGGAAATATAACACAGTGACACACTCTTACCAAGACCAATCTCATCCAGCTGAAGACCATAAGGAAAGCCATTCTTATGAAGGAAAGCCTGAAGGCTCTTCTCTTTGGCTTGGCCTATGGTGTCGCAGTCCAGAACATTAACTTGGATAGTCTGACAGGCATCTCCACTCTCATTTTCTGGGATTTTTTCAAAGATAACATTCACTGTCTGGGGAAAGAAACACACATTATTCTGACTTACAGGGAACACCTGGCATGGGAAACCTACAAAACCTGAGAGTTTTTAATCATATTTGTTATTAAAGCTATTTCAAATAAAGATTATTTGAAGGAATTAAACAATGAAGTATTTAGAATTTCTCATGTCCAAGTAATCAAAGATATATAGCTACATATTTCCAAAAGTATATTTTGTATTCTGCTTTTGTGCAAATCTATTTCAGTGAATTACCAAAAAAAGACGGGAGACCAGAAAAAAATTACAATGCATGTTCTAAAAGAAGCAGATCTTTTATTTAAAACGAATGCCTTAAAAGCAAAACTGTAAGCTACTAGAGATCTGATAAGGTTGCTAAGTAAGTCGTCACGGTAAGCATGACTGATTTTGAGTAGATAGGAAGCAGTGTTAAAATGCATATTTACACCAGCAGATTATGCTGAGTACCTTATATTATACAAAAAAATACACCTCCCCCAGAGACGTCAATGTCTGTTTGCATGCAGCCACATCTCTAGAGGCAACAGAGACAGGGCTACTGCAGAAGCAGTGGAAAGGGAAAGCATGTTGCCGCAGACATGACCCAAAATGGTCCAGACCTGCACCCATGTGACCTGTCCAGTTACAAACCCCCTGCCCTTTAGCTACTCCTAGCTGGGACACAACTCATCTGCTGGGCTGCACACAAGGTGAGTATGGGCCACAGAGAGGTGCCAAGGAGACCGGGTGACCGTCTCCAGGGAATGCTTTCAGTATTTCTGGTCAGGTCAGGTCAGGCTTTCAAAAGCAAGGAAAAAGGGATGAGCAAAAGATGGCTAATGCTGAGTGATAACAGCACTCACTTCCAGTAGCCTGCTCCTTGCAGAGACATCGCTGTTCAGCTACACAGATACAGGCATTCTGCTGCAGATGTCTCAGAATAGAATTAAAACAAGTGTTTTAGGTGCCAGCACTTGACTGCAAGTGGCATAGGAAAATCCAGGTACTCAAACCACTCTGGTTATTGGACATTTCTGGTATAACACATATCTTTTGACTGAAATGTGAGCACTGCAGGTGTGACTCAGTGAAGGAGTGATCATTAAAAGAGGAAGCACCTAATTTTTTAATTTTTTTTTTTTCCCCTGTTGTCATGTGAAGAAAGGAACTTCTGTCCAGGTTGCTGCATGGACAACTTTTTCCTCTTCTTAGATAGTTATGAATAGTTGTAGAATGCTATTTTCTGCTTTATTGCCCAGAAAGAGTGAAAATTACAATACACTGGTGGTGAAAAAAAAGTAATCAATAAGACATAAATTAACTTTACTGTTTCTAGAGAAGCAAAGGAGTACTAAAACAGGGCTGCAAAACTATGAAGATCAGGATTTAACACAGACAAGGATGTAACTTAAGTAACTGAGGATAAATTAATCAGGACAGAGAGATGTTTAATTGTGAGGAATATAAGACCACAGAAAGGACAGACGGAACGGAAGAGGAGGAGATGCAGGAACAGTGCCTGCAGAAGGAGAAGCAGACTGGACACCATGCCTCAGGTTGGGATTTCATGCAGAAAATTAGTAAAAAATATATTGGCACGGGAATGAGGGAGTCATGCTTGGTTAGGCCCACAGACCAAATGAACAGACAGCAGTCCTGTCCTTGACTTTGATTGCCCTGAGGTCATGGTCTTGTAGGATAAAAACGTGGACAGGGATTAACTGTATTTTGTCTTTGGAAAACTCATTTTAAAGTCTTTGTCTCTTCTAGTCTCTCAACTAATCTTCTTGGAGTAGCTACTCACACTTTAACTGATGTTGATTTGTCTTTACATCCTTGGAAGCATTCCTTTCTTTAGTTGATCCTGTCCTCCTAATATTATCCCTACACTGCAATATTCATGTTACTGCTTCTCCTTCATTTCCTCTTCCTTTCAGACTGTCAAGAGAAACTGTCTTTTTCTCTGCTGCATTTCCTTTTCAGCACATGCTCTCACACAGATTGCACATAAATGTGCAGTCTCTTCAGTCCTCCCATCCCCACTCAACTCATTGTAGGATGACAGGACTGTAAAAAGAGAGAAGTAGTCCTTTATGTAGGTGTAATACAAGTCATTTATAGACTCCTTAATCAAACGTATCCACAATGTGAGGATAATAACAATACTTTACAACTCAAAGAAGTGGTCAGATGGGATGAAATATTTAAACTCATAAAAATCTCAAAACCAAGAGAGCCAGACAGTTTTGCTGATATGATTTCCTGCAGAAGTTAATATTAAGTGATGAAGCAATTGATGGGGAGCTCGGAAAGCCAATCATTATTATGTCTTCCCTCTGTACTTGAAGTTTTCATAAATCAGATTCAACCTGTCTGACAGCACAATCCCTGGCTTTAGAAACCATTAATCAGAAGCTGACAGTCACCATCACCGCATTTAGACACAAAGTGCAGAATTGGAAAAGGAATCAGAAATGACTGTAAAATTATGAAAGCCCTTTTATGATCATCTCTGAAGGTCAGAAAACATTTAAGAGAAATCACAGGAGGATACATGGAAGTCAAGAGGAACCATCATCAGGCCCTTTTCTAAGCTCTCTCACTTTGCCAAAGAAACAAAAATACAGGTTAACTTAGGGAAAGATTCAGGAGAAAATTACAGGACATGGTTCAACCTAGTAATATCTAGACTTGAGACTTCATGCACTAGAAATTTATGGTTAGCAACACAAAGTCACAGTGCTCTTCAGCAAAGGCCTAACACAAGTTGCAAGAATTGTTAAAGGCTACTTAAGGAGAACGAGGCAAGCATCCGCAACTGCTTGTATTGGAACTAGCTTGGAACCTAGCTAAAAGACAGGACCAGATTTAAAAACCTTTTTTTAACTCATGCAGAGACAGCAATAACAATATTTGAAGACAATGTTTACAGATGCTTTTTAGAATTGTGGTTTTCTTGAAAATGAATTTCAAACAATGAATTATTTAGTAAAGCTATTAATAACCATAGCAGATAATAAATATTTCTTTTAATAAAGAAATATGTTATTACCATATTTTCTTAGAAGAAAAATCATCTGGGATATTCAAGGGCTCTTATTCATTACCCTGTTCTCTGTTCAGCTATACATCTGAATAAAGCATATTTCCATTTATCAAACAGACTAAAAAAACAAGAAAAACTTGTCATTGGTCAGAGAAGCATGTAAAGCACATCGAAATTGCCTTAAACCTACTCCCCTGTCTCCCAGACTATGAAATACAATAAACAGGAAAAATCAGATTGACTCTATGATCCTTCTGTAGCAGCCAGAACAGCTACCCATGAAGAGGTTATAGAAGAGCTAACAAAGTACCAGAGAAAATGTTACAGGAATTAAATTTAGGCTAGATGGGCACTACACAAAGTGAGGGTTGTACTCTCAATGCTAGGATATGGTACTCAATCTGTATCTAATTCAGAAGACTCTCCTGTAGCCAACATCTGCACTGCTCGCTTCCTAGCGAGGGCTGTTGTGTCTTTTCTGCTGACGAAAATCCCCATATGTCACATGCTTTTAATAGCTTCCTTATCTCTCACAAAGTGTGCCTAATAATACCACAACCACGACATCTTGTTAGGAAATCGGGTTCCCTGTCTCTGCTTCACTCCCTTACCGCCCTCCTACTTCTTTTAACACCCTTCTTCTAACTCATAAAGCAGTTGAACACTTTAAACAATCTTCCAGCATGTGGCTTTGCTTCACTTTCAATAAAAGGCTCTTGGCCGAACAGGTGAATTAAGATTGTTTCTTCCCATCTAAAAATGTAAACTCATTTCAGCAAAGAATTCAACAGCCCAAAGTCCCTTTTTTAAAATAAGCAGTGACTATTCAAAAGAAGTTTGTTGCTCCTAAATGCCTGAGCACTAGGTCTATCACATGAAGTCTCTCCTGATTTTCCACAGCAGCTATTCCACCAAGAACTTCTCCCACGTCAGACTTGCATTGTGCAGCTTTTCTATTTAAAACGAAACACTTCGGTGAAATGCTAACACTCAGCTGTGCCCCGCGCTTCTTCGTCAGTCATTGAGCAAATTATCCACCGAGGGGTGCAGCTGCTTGTCTGCCTGTGAGAAAGCAGGCTTGCTTCCTCAGCCTGTGAAAAGGCTCCGTGACACATCCAAGTCTCTTTCAAGGCAGTTTTATTTCTCAAAACTCAGATATAAGCACAGCGTGAAACCACACAGCTCCTCAGCTCATACTGAACCAGCGCTTTTAGAAGTATCTTTACTTCAATTCTTCTGCTTGAGTATTTACTTCAGCAGCCCACCTCTGTACAATATCTGACCCTTTCCAGCAGAGAGGGGTAGCAGTAGGGGGCTGGCTTGTCCCAAGGTCAGTGGCCTTTTAAAAAAAGGCATGGGGCCCAGCCAAGGGACAGCTCTAATACAATTCAAAACCAACATGTCTCTTAGTTCTCTTATTTTCTTGTTACAAATGGCCTGAATTTTAGAAAATATCTCCCATCTTTCCTTCTTTCTCTATGCCTGGCGCTTCTTCCTTCTCCTGCCCCAGGAGCTTATCTGCATAGTGGTGTTTATAAGAGAAGACCTGTAGAGCTCCCCCTGATTTTTAGGAGCCTGTCTGTATCCTGCTTTTATTGCTTTAGAACTGAAGTCTCAATCCTGAAAGGAGAGATTTGGATAGAGAGTGCTGACACCCTTCCTTGTGCCCCCTCCCAGAGGCATCCCTGCATCTTCAAGTGCCTGCGTACCTTAAAAATCTGGACACCGAGTGTCTGCAGACATGCTTCTGTATCTTTCTATCACCCTTTTTTTGGCTGTGTTTTTATAATTTGCTCTGGACAGGTAGGCTTTAATGCACTGCTATTGTGGGGCCGTGGAACAGGGCAAAACAAAATACCAACAAAATACTGTAAGATTTAGAATGTAGCTGCAGTAAACAAATGTGCAAATGCACGCAGCTCAGAATTTATTCCATTTAGAAAACAAAACCTGCAATCCTTTAGGCAGAAATTTTCTTCCAAAGAAAGGAGAAAATACTTGGTTCCTTGCCTGTAAACTCAAAGGTCCTGCACATCATTGCAGTGCACGTGAAGTAGCGCTAGCGAGAGAAGAAAAACTGCCTCCTTACACTTTAGCATCCCATTAAATGTTTTTGCTGCAGAGAAAACACGACCAGCTGGACTGTTTCCCCAGCCCAGAAAACTTCACTGTTCCACCCAAATCTCTTTCACAGCACAGTTCTAGTTTCTAGCATACATCTTAGACAAAACACCAACCAAAATTGCTTCCTTGTCCAGCCAGAGCTGGAGTCGTCGGGCTCCACCTCTGTAATTTTACTGCAGGATCCTCTCTCCTTTTCTGACAGTTTTGAAGGGAACATTCAGCCACTTCTCAACAAAATCAAATAAATTGCTGGACCTTAGTGAGGAAAGCTGATTTATTAACCCTATAGCAGTATCATTATCTCCTATTTAAAAGCAGGAATACGAAGTACAAAGGCAGCAAATCAGTTTGAGAAAGGCTATCTGTTCTCTCACTTCCTCATCCATCCGCAGACTTCCCCACTGATACCAAGTCCTTCAGACCACTTCCCCTCTCTCCTCTCCACTGCAGGCTGCCCACAAGACCCTATCAGTGACTGCACACACAGAAGTAGCACTAGGAAAAGTGTTCAGCAGCTTCAGAGTCAGTTATTCCCCCAAGGTGCTCTCAATTTGAATTTGTGCTATAAATAAGGAAAGTCAATCAATTCCACAGGACCAGATGTTCCCGCGCAGTCTACTAGTAACAGGCACATTGAGCTTCCTTGAAAATTATTGCTCTGCTTAACTACTGGGTTTTGTATCCTATGGCTATATATTTAAACTTATCCTGGATCCCAAATACATGCCAGAATGCAGCACGTAAACAAGTAAACCAAAGATACGGTATTTTGCATTTAATTTTTAGTCACAGGCTTCCTTTCCAAATGCACACTGTGGTAACTCAGCTTGAAGTACCTTCAAATGAAGCTTCCAACAACAGCTTTGTAAAGAGCTGTAAAAAGATTTGACTCTAAATTTGTCAGTCCAAGAGCTTTCAGCAGAAAAGAACAATTCAGAAATGCTTCACAGAAAGGCTGTCATTTCAGTGAGCTTCCTATGTCACCCAGTGCGTTAAGTCCAACAGACTGCTGACCAGCCAAAATTTCCAGGGTCATGTAGTCTACTCCAGCATGTGGCATCTTAGGACCTCCACGTTTGTGCTGCAAAAACAGAAAATGGGCAGACCTGGAAGCTCCAGCCCTACCTGAAGCCCAGGATGTGGGCTCTGAAAAGGACCAAGTTCTCCTTCAAAGCCACCAGCACTTGCAGTGTCCCTGACATGGCCGTTGCTGCTCTGGCATGTCCTACTCCCAAGCTCTGAAGCCCACTATTCTGTCGCACTTCTCATACTCCTAAGTATGTCCGCTAACTCTGACAGGAAGCCAGGAGTTGAGAAGCAAGTAAGATAGGGAACGACTGGAAATGCAGATTTTTAAGGTCTCAGACTCAAAATCATTTGGAAATTCTGGGAAAAAAGAACTCTGGTTATTCTGAAACCTTTTTCAGACCTCCTACTCACAGAATCACCACGGTTGGAAGGGACCTCTGAGATCATCGAGTCCAACCACAAAAAAAAACAAAACAAAAAAGCCCACCCCAAAACAACAACACACACAACACCCCACCACATCACACCCACCCACAAACCAATAATCTTGGGCACCAGAGCATGCCCTGAAAAGCCATGTCTACACGTTTCTTAAATACCTCCAGGGATGGTGACTCCACCACCTCCCTGGGCAGGCTGTTCCAGTGCCTGACCACTCTCTCAGTAAAGCAATTCTTCCTAATATCTAATCTAAACCTCCCCTGCCGCAACTTTAGACCATTTCCTTTGGTCCTGTCATTATTCCCTCGGGAGAAGAGGCCAACACCCACCTCTCTACACCCTCCTTTCAGGTAGCTGTAGGTGGCAATGGGGTCCCCCCTCAGCCTCCTCTTCTCCAAACTAAACATGCCCATACTCAAAAGGTCACAATTTTTACATGCTCTCAAATGCAATAATCGTTGCTATCCCTTCTCCCCTCAGTTTCAGAATAACAATAGTAGGGGAATTCCAGCTTTCAAAGAATTCTGCGTGCGACTGTAAAATAGGAAGCATTTCGTAGTTACTTTGAGAAAGGCAAGAAATCTATGGTAAAGTTTAGAAACCTAGCTAGGCTTCACAAATACCTTGTTTTAACCAAGCAGCTAATTAAAATCCACCACGCTGTAACCTTGCTAATTTGGAGCTAATAACATGGAAACCCAAAGCAAATTATTGCTGCCTGAAGATTAGCCACAAGTAAACATAATAGAAAAATAAAACCTTTACATTCCATTCTTTGATTCATTGGAAAAGTGTAATTTAGTTTAAATTCTAAGCATATGTTTATATTCTTGTAGTACATTTTAAAATAAGAGGATTTTTAATACACTGAGACTTCATTAAATCTAACCTTTGGCGATTATGGCATGCTGTGAAGCGAGGACTGAGTGCTACTTGTGAAATGTATATTGGTGAAATACCAGCTCGTTAAACTCTATTGTGATTTGAATTCGTCAGCAATAACAATTTTATTATCTGGGTACTTAAACACCACGTTAGTGTCTGAGAGTCTTAATTTAACTTTCCAGAAAAAGAAAAAACATTGTAGCTGTCCGTGTTTGGAGGGAACACAAACTGGCAAACATACCACTGTTTTGAATTCAGACACTTGCCACAGCAGCCAGTCTTCGTTAAGCGTGTACAGGGCTTTGCAAGTTATTGCGTCGACAGGTCCTTTGTTTATCCTCTGATTGAGGGTTGTCACTAGCAAATAGAAAGGTTCACCAATTGTCTCCTAGGACATGAAACAAATGCAAGGAACATGTTTATTTTTGTAATCATTAAATGGGCATGAATAACTAAAAAAAAAAATAAGCGTAACAAATTATTTCCTTTTAACTAACTTGTCACCTTGCAATTAGAAAAGAAAATCCCTCTGAACAGATTTATCTAGTTATTTGTTTAACCTCCATCCTTTTCTTTTCAGTGTGAACGTCTCATGCAAATAGCAAGGGACAGCTGGAGCGTGTGGCAAGATAGCTCACAGCCCCTCGCTGTGCACAAGCATGCTACAGACAAGCTGCTCCTACTCCACCTGGCAGACGCTTCCCAGTTCCACCAGCGAGCGGGTGGGGGGTGAGACGTGCATGTGTTCACATGCCTACTTCAGCTATTTCTTCCTTTTTCAGTCTTGTGAGGAAACAAGCTAACAACCAGTTTGCTTTTGAACTGGTGTGTCCCCTTGTTGTCCCTGAAAAAAAGCTTTGGGGGCAAGGTGGTGGGACATACACTGGTGTATCAGTGAAAGAGGGAACCAAACTGGGGCTTCTCCCTCCTCCCTGAAGCCCAGGCTTCAGGAAAGCACCTAAGTAAGGAAGGATGGATCTTTTTTTCCACGTGAAGCTATTGCTTCAGCCTGGCTAAGGCATCTCACTAGCACAGCTCTGTAAAGATGACTGGTGCATCAAGAACAGATCTCTGACAGTTCCTTGGCTCTCTCCTGGGGTTTCAGGAAACCCATGTGAGCTGCTGAGCCTCAAACAATTCTGCTGCTGTATTAATACAAGAACTGATATGAGTGGAACCAACAGCGCGATAGCATCGCGCTGGTAAGAGAGACAGGAAGCATAACCAAGCTCTGAAACCAAGAACCAAGTGATACCAAGTGGGCTAAAATAAACAAACAGTAGAATTAAAGAAAACGTTTATTTTGTTTCCACTTGAGGTCATTTAGTTCTTGAAATCTGCAATGCCGTATGGAGGTTTGAAAGTTTGGAGAGAAGTTTAATTGTCCAAAAGATGGTGTTCTGTAAATCTCCATTACGCGGTAGCTTTCCAACAGCTTGCACAAAAAGGTACAGCTGCATTTTAACAAGCGTGTCAGTCTTTTAGCATGATCAGAATACATTTCATGGAGATGAAATAACGTCTGACGTGAAAAAAGGATATGCTAGAATTGCAAAATTGCTCAATTCTCAGCCAAATAAATGACATGATCATCACTTCCAGATGCACTCTTTTCCTATATCCCGTTGATGATAGCTAGCTAAGTCACCTAAACTAGAAGAGCGCACATTAATAATGTTCAATGGTAGATTCAACGCTTTAAACTGATCCCTCTAACAATTCCTATGGAAGAAACCAGTTTAAAAGTTTCCTTGTGTATCTTACATAGTGAAAAGATGTACACGTACCCGGAGAAATCCAGAAAGGCAGACAGACATCCAGTTTGTTAGCAATTTTTCTACCACAGATTCGGTTCGCCTGAGCAGGAGCTTAGGCTGTACATTGCTCGATTGCTCCATCAAGTCCTTTGTCAACACTTCCAAAATATGGGTTAGATAAACTAGCTTAGTTTGTAGTGCAATAGTCAAGAAGGATGCAAACAAGCACCTGTTCAAAAAAAAAGAAAAAAAGAAAAAAATAATGCTATAGTATTTGGAATTTCTCTTCCCAGTCATCTTTAATAAACGAAACACACTTCTGTGCAGTTCATTTTCTAAGTTTTCCCTCCTCAAGCAAAGAAATTGTCCACTGATCTCTATGAAAATATAAAAAATGCGAGTCCATCTGCTCTTGTGATTATTTTTTAAAGACAGAATTTGTGTCTCTAAATTTAATTCTGCAGAACAACACCTGCTTCAGTGACAGAACATTTCCAAACTGTGGAACTGTTGATCTAACTGCAGGAAGTGTTTACAGTTTTGAAGTGAGTTTTCCTGCTCCTCTGCCTCTTTGTTTACATGTACAAACATTCTCATTTCTCTTTAATGGCTTGTTTTAATGGCAATGTTTTTTCTTCCTCAGTGTGTGCAGATGGAGAAAATGGAACAATGCTCTGGAGTAATGCAAGCTTGTTTTGCGAGAAGTAGAAATTACATTTGTGTGCTACAACCCACGTTTTTTTTTTCCTGCTAATTCTTTGTCTTGAAGATGATAAGCATAATCATACTATACCTGTCTTTCACAGTGAAATTTTTCTGCTTTTCAAGGGTGTGAATGAGAGTAACAAGAAAGTTCTTGTTACAAATTAAAGCATGCAACATGTTGAAGCTTTCATCCTTGCTCGTTTGGTCTCTGCTCTGGAATAGTTAAACAAAAATAAGCAAACTGTAGTTTGGCTGTGATGGATTCTTAATGCTCAAAAAATGGTAAGCAACATATGGGATAAGATCCTGACCTCAGTCAAATCAGTGGAAACTTTGCATGTATGACACAGGTCTCTGGATTTTACCAAAGATGCATTTACATTTGTGTACAACACAGAGTACACAGGTGCAGAGCATACATTTTCTGTCATATACACAAAATAATGCCAATAGCTAAGTTCGCCTGTCATTTCCCAAGATTAGATTCTGTTTATTTTATTTAAATAAGTCATAACATACATTGGGTAACAGGATCTTACATATAAAATTCTTTTTATACATAAATCCATGTAACCCTCCTCATGGGGGAAAGGGAACACATTGAAAATGCAATCTGATGTGTTCTAGGACAATACTAAGATAAGGGATGAAATCACTCTTGAAAAAATATTTATTAATTAAGGCATATCACACTATATCAACTTACCTGTGGCATGTCTTCACTGAAGATGGATGCAAAGCCTCCTGACTAAAATATAAGACAAGTGATATTTATCATTCTTACATATACCAAAAGTTTCTAATACATGTACATTAAATACACCAAGTACGTTCCTGATGGCATACAACTTGAAATAAAACAATGGAAATGCTGGCTTCTAACGCGGCTACAAATAAAAACTCTACACCGTAACATTTGCAAAGGTGCTGCCGAGGTTCATTAAAAAGTGAACTCTCAAAGATGGCCTGGTATTGATTTTCAGTGATACAGTGTGCGTTACTCTGAGCTGCTCTAGCACAGCAGTCAACTAATGCTCCACAGGAAAAGCTGTTTATTACCTCATCTGCAAATATGCTGGTGTGCAAGGCGTGCTACAGGCTGCATCCTGCCTGGACGGCAGTGACAGCCTTTGGCATACAGGGTTTCTGTCACAGAGTGACACTTCAGTTCATCTGTCTCCATTCATTTCAAGGCACTTTATGAATGTTCACTAATCAACTCTCCAGGAGGTCCATGCTCCAGGGAGGCACAGGTGTCACCAAACATCCAGTCCTAGAGAAAGCTCTCACAACAAAGCGAAGCTCCCAGTTCTCCAATACCTTGTCAATGCCTCTTGTCTGACTCTTACAGCCTGCAAGGTCCCAACACAGCTGCATGTTCCCAAAGCAGCACCCTCGAGCAACAAATTCACACTAGTAACATTTACTGTCATCTGCTTTATCTGTGATGCTGGCAGCTCCCATTTTCCTTATAGAATTATAGAATCATAGAATTACAGAATGGTTTGGGGTGGAAGGGATCTTCAAAGATCATCTAGTCCAACCCCCTGCCATGGGCAGGGACATCTCTCAGTAAATCAGATTACTCAAAGTCCCATCCAACCTGACCTTGAACACTTCCAGGGATGGGGCATCCACAACTTCTCTGGGCAACCTGTTCCAGTGTCTCACCATCCTCATTGTAAAGAATTTCTTCCTTTTGTCAAATCTAAATCTCTTTCAATTTAAAGCCATTGCCCTTCATCCTGTTACTACAGGCCCTGGTAAAAAGTACATCTCTTTCTTATGAGCCTCCTTTATGTTGAAAGGCTGCAATAAGGTGTCCCTGGAGCCTTCTTTTCTCCAGGCTGAACAATCCCAACTTGCTCAGGCTCTTGTCATAGGAGAGGTGTCCCAGCACTCTGACCATTTCCGTGAGCCTCCTCTGGATGTGCTCTAACAGGTCCGTGTTTTTCCTGTGCTGGAGACCCCAGAACTGGATGCAGTACTCCGGGCAGGGTCTCATGTGAGTAGAGCAGGGGAACAGAATCACCTCCCTTGACCTGTTGGCTGCACTTCTTTTGATGCAGCCCAAGGTATGACTGGCTTTCTGGGCTGCAAATGCACATTGCCGGCTCACATCTAATTTTTCATCTATATAATTGATTTTTCATCCCTCCCTTTCCTCATGACTCCTGTTCTCTTCTCCCCTACCATACTCTTCTTCCTCTTCCTCCACTCACTATTCCCATTTTTACAGAACTTCTTCAGTGCTCCTAACACCACCTACCAATAAAACACACACACAGAGTGAAACACCAGAACCACACTAAAGGTTAAATATGCTTGCAAACAGGGAACAGTAATGGTAGAATTAAACCAAAAAATGTGGGAAATTCTGGGAAAACAGAAATAATAATACAAATTTAACAAGTAGCAGAAATCAGGCTGAACATACAGAATATTTTAAGAATAAATGTAATATCCTTTTACCACCTACAAGCATTAAGCACAAAACAAAAGCTATGAAGCCAGATTAAATATAGAAGATCGAAGCAGCAGAAAGCAAGAAGCTCAAAATGAAGACAGGGCCATCACTCTTTATTTTAAGTATCTGACTCCCTCTTTAAGCAACTCGTCCCATCCTGACACAGATGTCTCAGACAAGTAGGATAAAACACTTTCTTGAGCTGCCTGTCTCTGCACTGACTACAGAAGATGCTCAGAAAACAGCTCTGATGTCCATGTTTAACCAGTTTAGATTAGATTAGACGAAGCCCATCGAACACACTGGAAGACACAAAGAGTACAGTTGCTCTGACTACAGCATCTTTCAAATACATGAGGTTAGTGGTGGAAGTGGTGGTTTTTCACTTTGATCCTTTAGTCAACCCTTCCGACACTCGGTTGCAATCTACTACCCCATTGCCTTTTCTGTTCATCTGTAATATTTGTTTAGTAAAGCACTGCTCTCCTACCACATTCATACAGCACAAGGCATGTTTGAACACTCCCGCAATGTAAACAGTAAGTACTTAGCAGAAAAAATTGGTACACAATACGTTAAACAGCTTGCCTGACACTGCATGTCTGTAGAGAGCTAATAGTGGCAAGTTTACCTTTGTGGCATCAGTATTTCAAACTGAGACAAAATCTAATTGGAGTAATTTCCGGGATGCACAGGGGCATGAGACTTTCCAAGGCAAAACAGGAGCCCTTCCTTTTCTGACTCACATAGTGCAACAGTGGCAGACTTCATGCCTTTTTTTCTTCACTTTTTATTTGCATAAAGCAAAGCATTTACACCCAGACAGCTTCTACAGATTGCTACTGTTTTGACAGGGGACTATCACTAGGAAAAGATATATTCCTAAAAATAAAAACATTTTAATGCTAATATGCCTGGCAACACCACAAACAGAAAGGAAAGAGATGCAGAAAGTAAGGTTTTCTTGGTCCTCACGTTCTTCAAACGTCCTAGTGACCCCATAAAAATTAGACGACACAGCAGTACTAGAAGAGATATTCCCAGTTTCCTGTGGTGTAAGAACTGGACTCGAGGTGTACAAAGATTCTGCATACGTAATTGTTAAATATTATTTTGCCTGAGTATCTGGTATTTGGTGTTGCACCAAAAAAGGCCCTGATTCTGCACTATCACATGTTTAACTTTATCACAAGGAGCTTTTAGTGAGATCCCACACAGTGATGAAGTGAAGCAGTGTGCAGATAAGACTGCAGGACTGGGCCACATGAAGACTAGTAGATAATTTGCCTACATACCAGCTATACCCTAAAACACCACAGCACTAACCAAGAGTTTCCATTCATTGGTGTCAGTTACACAGCAAAATATCACCAGCTGAGATCACAGCTTTTGCCTATTAGTAAATGCCAGTAAGCACTGGTTAACATCATGCTGTAATTTTGAAAGCTGTGGCAAATGCACTTATCAGCTTCGTAATGTGCCACATACGTAAAAAAATAGCAAGAGACAGAAAACGTTCAAGAGAAGGCCTCTTCAGTCCTTTGACACAGTGGCACAAACTGCTCCAAAGAACAATTAAAATATCCACCTCTAAACTAGACAGTACTTAAGTATTTATGTAATTTTTAAACATTTGACCTGTGCTCCTTTGAATTAAGGTCTTACCATTTCTGTCAGCAGCTTGGAGTAGAAAGTCAGCACGACCTTAGAGCCATTTCTTCATCCCACAAGTCTAATTAGGAAGTGTCATGATGTTAGCTAGCATGTTAGCTAGCCTGACTGTTACTTTAATTAGCTATAGCATGGAAAGTGAAAGCATGAGAACAAAAAAGGCAATGGATAAATTATAGCTTAGTTGGGATGGCCTGAAAGGCAAGCAGCAAAAAAGAAATGGATGCACACACAACCCTTGAAAATTCAACAATGGTGCTTTATCTACAGCATTTAGGCTTGGTTAAATACAGACATGTACAGCCATAAGTGTTCTTTGGTAATTCTCAATTAAAGAAAAGTTTCTTGTGAAAACAACATGCAATCACTGTGTAGTATTTACATTAGTTATTTGATCCTGACCTTCCTAGCTTCTTCATTATTAGGCAGGGCTGATAACTGAAACACTTGTAAATACTTACCTCTGGAAAGAAAGTTCTAAGAGCAAAGTGTTTGTAGTCAAGGAAGGGAACAGTTCCAAAACTATCCACCACATCTAATTCATCCATCTGCAGCTCAGCAAATCCTGTAAAAGCACACCCCCGCCCCACCCGGACAATTAGTTTACTTGACACAAAATCATCTTCACAATTATAATTTGAACCCAATAGATGCTCCTCAATAAACAGTTTTCAGGGAAGAAGGGTTGGTTTTCAAGCTGAAGCCCTTATGAGTGGGAAAGTACCAATCCAATTTTTCCACCTGCTTGTGTTGAAAGAAATATTATTACATGCAATCCTCTTAGCTCAGTGCTATCTGCTACTGCTGTGCACATCAACATTAAAGAGGAACTCTGATACAATACAAAAATACTCTAACAGCCGTAAAATTAAAATGCTTATATAATGTGAGCTTCCTGACAGTTTCATTTCAGAAATTATGCTGTACTTAAGCTCTATAAAGCTCTTTAGACCTACCTTCACGTATTTCCTTCCGAATCTCATATTCCAGCAGTTCAAGTTGCTGACTCTGTTTACGAGTTAACTCTTTGGATTTGTATCTAGTAACTACAAATGCCACTAAAAAGGGAGAAAAACAGATGCTTAGTACAGAAATTGCAGAACAGACAACCCCTATACAAAACATATTTTAATATTATTTTAAGAAACAGAAATATTAATATACGCTTTTGCTCTCCAGGAGTGTGTCGATGTGCTATTACCCATAAGCCCTAGTTATCTGGATGTAAACCCCAACGTTAATAAAATACATTCCTTTTAACAACATCTTAAAATTGTCAATGCAATTTTAATTGAAAGTCCAGCACACTGAGCTATGTATGACCTGCACTATGAGACACAGAGTCTAAAAACCACTTCCACTACTAGCAATCTACTTAAAGTGGCACAGATTTAACACAAAACTCAGTTGTTTTGAACAGGAAATCCACTTCCAAATTGTTAACTTCTCTAAAGTTCATTTAGAGAGAGTAAAGGCACAACTTAGTAATTACCTACAAATTCATGAATGATCCAAATGAGACTGAGCAGAAACACCACACACACTGCCTAAGGATACGCAGTTTGTTAGGGATCATCTGCCCCTGGGACAGGAGGAGAGCCCAGCTCTGACAGCTGGAAGGACCCAAGTTGTGACACAAGGATGTGACACCTAGGGCTTGCCTCACTAAGCAAAGGTGAGTAATCCCAGCAGAACAGCCAAAGCTGCTGTCTTGTAATATACTGTAGTCTGATAAGATGTACTTCACCACCAAACCAGAGTTAATTTTGTCCACTCCTATTGGAAACAAGGGAAAACCACCAGACTGTGACAGTTCCAAACATGTATGTGTGTCTGTACATGTGTTTATGTGTCATGATTATACCCTTCAGCAAATCAAAATTCTGAAAACGCATTATTGTACTTACCTATAATGACACCCACTATAATTGGTAGCAAAATAAGAACATATAAATATATGTGTGACGATGTTGGTTTGACTTCATGCTCAAAATTTCCTAATTTGACCTGAAGAAAAATAATGGCTGTGTTAATAGAGAACAGGTATTATATCAGTGTTAAAATGATATCTAACGTATCAAAAAAAAATTATTTGAGGCACATGAAGGGCCCTGGTTCTGCAGATTATTGAGAAGACAGCAGCAATTCGGAAAAACATATGTGAACCCACACAAACTTAACATTTACAGCATTTGATGTTTAAGCAGGATAACAGAGCAGTGACAAGAGAAAAATTTGGAGGTCCTCATGCAGGATGAAATTTTGCCATTGCTCTTGCTGAAAACTGAAATGAACAGCAAGGTCTGACCTCCAGCTGGCTCATGCACTTCAGAATCACTGCTAAAGGTTCTGGCATTTTGAAGAGAGGAATGTACGTGTTGATAGTTAAAAACATTCCTTTGCACTCACAGTGTTACTCTGCTGAGCAGAAAAGTAAGATAAGACTCACGCTAACAATGAGGGAAGTAAAATTTTTGATAGATGCGTGGCCCACAGCCCTCTTCCCTATTTCTTTGCAGAAGTTTCAACCTCTTTATGTAGGATGCAGGGCGTTCCTGAAGGTCCGCTTGAGAACAAATACAACATACAATACATGTACAACATCCCCCAACAGCCACCAGGCTTGTCAAAGGCAGGACAGGCATTAATTCTTAGGAATACACGAAAAGTGCTGAAGTCTGCCAGATACCAAATTGAGGCATTCACCACTGATAATTATGGCAGAAGAAATTTCACAAAGGAGGATCTCAAAGAGGACTAAGAAAGCACATAAATAAAGGGTAGCTGAGACTACAAACAGGCTAGAAGTAAAAATACACTTTGACTCAGAAAAAGAATACCACCAAGTGCCAGGGATAGAAATAAGCCTGAGATAATTGAAAAGGAGAGTTGGGTTGACATTATTTTGGGTTACAGCAGGGAAGTCAATCACTGACTTGTCACAGGAGGTGAGCAGCCAGGGCAGCTGGACACTGCCAACTGGATAGTCACATCGCAGCTACATGGACAGGAGCAAGCAAAGAAACCCCACGGGGCTGGAAGGACACAGCCTTCGTATTTTGAGGACTACAAAGAATATAGACAAATCAGACCTATTTCCTCCATCAAATGTATTTTTTCCTTGATTGTATATGTGTTTTCATAGTTCCTACACAAAGTACTTTTGGTCTGAGCTTTCCTAGGATCCCATTTGCTGAAATGCATTGGTGGCTAAATGCATTAACCATCCTGTGACTAATACACCTGCCTTTCTCCACTTGTCATGTCCAGCCAAAGCATTCCTAAAGCAGAAATTCCTGTTACTCATTCCTGCTTATTGAAAACTGAGGCAAAACATTAATTTAATTTTCCATTCAGACTTAGATTATCTTTAATCTTCACCATAACCTTCCTACTCTATGGCTCAATTTCTTTCCTTATCTTTTATTTATCTTGCTTATGAATCACAGACTAAATAAGGTACACCTGAATTCACCCAATTCCTATTCCTAAATTTATTTATTTTTTTCTGCATGACATTATAAAACCTCCTCTGGACTGGTAATGCCTCTGAGCTTTATATCATCAGCAAATGTTATTAGTGCACACCTTATTTTTGTGCTCAAGCCACTAGTGATATTAAACAATATCTGTATGGAAATCAACATTGCCCAGAGTCGGATCCCCATACACAATATCCAGTTTTTCTAATCCCTGGCGTCTTCATAATCACCATGTTAAGTAGTTTACTGAATGACTTCCAGGTACATGTGATCTACTGCTGTTTTTGTTGTTGAGGAAACCACTCATCTTACTGAATAAAGATATCTAGCATAATCTGTTTTTATTAAAAAGAAGTTGACAATTATCCCATTTTCCATTTACCTCCAGGTCTTTTATGAGTCCCTCATTCAAAACACATTATAAAGCTTTACATAGAGCTAGATTAAATCAACAAGCCTCTATTTGCCTCGATATTTTTTTTTCTTTTAAATACTGGGTTTATATTTGCTGCTCTCCAGTCATATAGTACCTCTCCCGACTCCACAGTTTTATTTAAAATCTTTCTTACTAAGCCTACAATATCATGTGCCAGTTCTTTCTCAGTGTTGGGATGGGAATGACCCTGTTCCAGCTTTCTTCAGGCCCTTGATCTATCTGAATCTTGCTTCTGTCACAAGAAAGGCATTTTTTTCTTGGACACCTCCATTCAGATCGATCAAACTGTCTTTGACCCCACACTCAATATCCTCTTTCTTCCTGAAAACTAAAGAGATACTTTTGTTCTTGGGCCATACCTATCTTTTATACCCAGCTTATCCTTTCTTCAGAGTGGCCCTACTTCTTCTATGGTGATTTATTTATAAGATTGAAAAAACATGTGATGATTTCCTACTTTTACATTTCTCTTGATGTTGGAAAAAAGAATTCTTAAGACACCAGATGTGAAATGTGACATTATAACTATTGCATTTGATTTGCCTTAGTGAAGCGGTGACCTTTCTATGACAGTCACTCCTATGAAGCTTGCAGGATGAGCACATGATACTGCAAGGCAACGTTAATATTTAAATGCAACGCCAATCTCAGAAAGGCTTTTCCATGCCATAACTGGCTCAGACGGCAGGATCCACAGATGGGGGATCAGTTAACAGTGATATGAAATTCAGAATAGCTTCGTTAATCTTTACTATGAGCCATATGCCTTGAAGTCAATAGAGTTATTTCAGTTTTATACCACCATACACTGCAATAAGAGTCTGGCATCATTTTTCTCCCTCATAAATGGTGACAATTGCTTTTTAAAAAATTCATGTCTTCATCTTATTCATGAAGCAAATATCTTAAGCTGCCATTTAGCTTTGACATCCATGCTAATGTTCTTATATTTGGGGCTGGCTTTGTGCCATATGTTCATAGCATTTTGCCCTTTCCAGTGCATACTGAATTTTACCCCCATTTTCATCCAGAGATGCCTTATCTCTGTCTTTGTGGTGATCACTACACACAGTTCAAGATCCTTAATCTACTTTAGTGGGAAAAAGTGAATGGGAGGACACAATGCTTTTCCTTATAGCTACACCACAGCAGCAGATTGCTTACAGATCTAGGATGAGTGGCTTTCCTGGAGCCAGTGATGCTTTATTGGTGATGTCTGCGCTGCAGCCAGAGGTCTGACAAGCTACTGCTCTCCTGGAGCTCAGGAGCAGTCAGCTCAGCTTGGACTGCAAAGCCTGCCTCTGACACCACAGCAGTAACTAGGCACTACACAAACTCAGCACTGTTAGTGGCACCTATACCAGCACCAGGCAGGCACACTCAGATGTGAGGAAGAAAACCAGACTACCGCATACCAGGAGAACAAAAAATGCATCCAATTCCTCCCTCTATAAAGAGTATTCGTGACCAGAGCATTAATGCTTCATTTTGCTACATTTGCCTAAACATCCAAACATTGTTAAATTGCAACACAAGGGAATTCTACTTACAAAAACTTTCACCGTGGAAAAGTCAATCTTGTCTGTTGCTTCCCTTTTGAATTTGCACAGTATGGTACTACGGTCTGGTTTTTTGGTAATATTTTGGACGCTGAACCATATCTTTTTGGTCTGTGCACCATTCATATATGACAGATAAACCTCTACCTCAGTTTTAGAAATATTCAGGTTGTCATTTTCTTTCTAGAAGGAAAAAATTGAAGATAATAAACAGTCACTAAACACGATAAAAAGTAAAATGATCCCCAATGACTATTTAAATAAGGAATAGTAGGCTATTACTTTCAAACTTACATATATTTTTAATTCCAGATCAGGATCCAACTCAGTGTGGAGCTGGTAGTTAATGAACACTGGGTCAGGATGATAGCGTAATCTGAAGCATGGTATAAAGGTAGTTTCCACTTTTAACATCAGATCAACAACTTTGCCCTCTGTTGCATGGCTCAGGCTTGGCGTTAAGTAATGATATTCAGATTCATTTCCAGGATACCTAGAGACCTAGAAATGCAATAGCAAAGCTGTAACAGTCATTAAGCACTCAACAGCAGGTACAATTACAAACAGAGGCACTCAAAACCATTTAACGTCTTCCTGACTTCACACAGATATCTGCTAAACCCCTTCTCTGGGATCAGGGCTGCATGCAGAGCACCTGGGAAAGTTTCTGTGTTGAGCGTGCATCTACCTTTAAGCACATTTATCACACACTCTGCACGCTGCTGTAAGGCTGATTGCACACTGCTAAGGCAGCTATTTCCTGCAGCGAGACAGGAATAGTGACAGTGATTTCTCCTTCCTTCCCCTCAGTGCAGGTGCCAAGAGAAAAGCAAGATGAACTCTCCAGCACCCCTGGGCCCTCTTGATAGAGGGGAGTTGCTACAGTCACCCCATTGGTTACGCATGGGGTGCTGCTGCTGTTTTCCGGTCTCTGTGCTGCCAAGCCCAGGAGGCAACAGGGTGCCCACCTCCTCGCAGACTCAGAGGAAGGGTTTTCGTCCCAAAATCAGATCCAATCTCCCACCCCTTGCTGAGGCAGTGGCACCATGTGGGTCCTCAACACAAAGCCAGAGAGAAGTACACCACCCCCTTTTCCAACAGATCCATATATGGAGGCTGGGGAGGTTCAAAAAGGATTAATTTGGACCAAGTTTCTACAGCACAGAAAAAAGGCTCAGGGAATTATGCAGCAGAATACCTTATGTGTATCCATGATCCTGTACTGAGAATGTGTGCAACTGTAATCCTACAAGTGGTCATATTTATTTTAGTAGGGCGACTGATGTATGCTGGCAAGTGCTTGAAAAATCTTGAGATCCTCCTGAAACCTTGACAATAAAACCTAATCCCTTAAGAGACCTCTATTTGATATCGTAGACGAGATTAAGACTTACGGTGAGGTTTGATCTCTGGTCATCTGAAATAATCACACGGTCCACCACCTTAAAATTTCTACCAATTGTAGTAATTTTGCGACCACCACTGTAAAAAAAAAAAAAAAAAAAAAAAAAAAATTTGGGATTTTTGGGGTGAGCCAGCACCGGTGCAGGGTTTGCACAGGAGGATGAGGAGAAGAGGAGGCACCTCTAGACAAGACAAGACAAGACAAACCCTGAAACAGAGACAAACCAC